CCATTGTTTACCTCCAAGGTAGTGCCTGGTGAGATTTCTCCTGTGCGTGATTAAACAATAAAACTTTTTGTTCAAAACGCCGTTGATTGAATAAATAAACAAACGAAAGACGCCAGATGTTTTTAAAAGCAAAACAAAAAGACGCCAGATGTTTCTAAAGCAAAACAAAAAGAAGACGCCAGCTGCTTAGCGAAAGACGCCAGGTGTTTTCTAAAGCAATGGTTTAATCGGGTAAACTAACGGAAGACAATTTCACGGTATTACTTCCAGGAGCTTCGCCCAATCTCATCATCACTCACCTCGTGGATCTGCCGTGAATTCTTTGTTTTAAATTTTCTTTTATTTCATGCGATAGTGGTTGCGAAAATAGCGGCGGTGGCGGCGCACAGCTACGGCACCGAACGCGAACCTTGTTGTTATCTAATAACAGCTTTCGCTGTAAAGCTTTCTGCCTACGCCCTTGCTTGCACCCCCCATCCTTTGAAGACAAAAAAAAGAACACATTTCTGCCTACGCTGCCACTGCAGTTCGGCCATTCTTTACCACGGAGAAACAAAGGGCATCTGTTCACGTTAGTTTACGACTTACAGTTGCTTTTTTTTCTTCTGCAAGGTAGTCATTAATAATTCTTCCAGTCCGCCAGGATCTCGGAAACATCCAGGGATAAGAAAAAACACTGCTGTACACGTTATAACAGAAAGAAGCAGCGAACTGGGCGAAATCCTTGTACTATGTAACTACGATGATCGCATGGAATCAAAATTACCAGGGGCACCCACGATGTGGTCATCTAGAAGCCAAGTAAACTTGGAACACTATTATAAACCAGCCAGCCAACCAACCTCCCACTAACAGAATGTAATACATGTGCTCTCCTGATAGCAGAAAATGGCGTCAAAATCTCTCTTGGAGTCACCACATCATACAAGGTCAGAAACAGTAAAAAAGCAGCCTAGAGGTTTGGAGAAAAATACCTTAACGCTTTAGCGTAAATAGCTTGTTTCGCAGAAAGTTTCAGTGTCGCTGTCGGAGTCTTTGATGATGAGCAAAAATGGGTGCATTTTTGGTGAGTAAAACTTTGAGGTTTATGCAAAATAAAATATGAGCCGGAGGGTGCCCGCACATTGGTTCTTCTTCCAGAGTGGTTTAGGACTGCACTGAGGAGCGAAGGCGGGCTAGCTGTATGAAAGGCGGTACAAACAAGGTCTGATTAAGCTGATGGACCTGCAATATGGTCGCACCATCTCTTGGATGCGTTGCGATGGTGCGCCACGTTCCTACTATGATTTTCAAGATTTAATGTCACCAGGCGTGCGGCTGTTCCCGTGCAAACATCTATAGTAGGTGACAACGTAAGAATATAGGCTCCAACCACGAGGCCTCATTGCCTTATTTTTCATGGCTCAACGCTACAAATGAAGTAGTTCCCTAACAGAGGCCGGGATTTTCACGTATACAATCATTTTCTTACAATACTTCATTGGTGTCTAAATAGAGAATCCGAAGCTCGATAGATAAACTTGAGAAGACGCGGACTTCCGCGTTAGCTTAGCAATATATCTGTTGTTGATATATGAAAGAAGGGCAAAAATCACATTTATTAGGTTCTTTACAATTTTTTTTGCAGAACTTTCGCTTCCAAGTTTCTTCGCTGTCTTCTGTAATGGTGGCAACTATGACTCAAATCAAAGATCTGAGAAGTGACCTGAAATTGACTTCACGAATGTTGATTCTTGTGCTGTTTTAAATACCGAATGTGCGTTTTGCGTCACCATGCTTGTCATCGTGTTTGAGGTAAACGCCAATGTTTCATTAGGGCTCTAGTTTTATTGAAATAAAGGCACGTAGCGTACATTCTGCTAAACAGTGGGGTCATTGCATACGTTGTCGTTAATGGCCAAGGCAATGTACGCAGCTAAAGTGGCGGCGACTAAAAGCTGTAGTTGAAGTTCGTTTTTTTTTTCTTGCTTCGACAACTTGCACTCCATGGTGCTGCCATCACCCCGTAAGCCCTTTAATATTCAACTTTTACAAAGCGGGACCCATTTTTGCTGCAACAGGACCACTACCTTCATTGAATGTGTCTGTGCAGGCAAGGGGGTTTTCTCTCTCCAGAGAATGCGAGTGAATTGCGTGTCAGACTTTGATTTCACAAGGAAGTGCAATACATCCATCTTTTCTTTCATGAGACTCTAATTTATTAAAAAAACATGTTATCTTTATACGTAATACATTAACGAAATACAGGCAAATGGACAAAATATGTATATATACATAAAGTAAGGCTTCCTAATATGATATTGTGAAAGATGATGCAATGTCTTAGAAAACAAAAATGGTTCAGTTTTTTTTTCGCTCAACAATAGTTTTAGTGGCGTCGCTTCAGAGACAATCACGATCGATGTAACTGATCGTGATTGATCGTGATTACTGCGTCGATAACAATCAATGCAGTGATATAACAGAGTTCGCATCATTTCATGGTTTAAAAGAACCTCACACGGCGTTTTTCACGCAAGGCATTTGTACTTCAAGCGTGATAAAACCACTTACGCAACGAACACTTCAATCCGTCACGTAATTATGAGCCGGTGGCAATATTTCGTCAAAATGATGCAGCTGTGCTAATCGGCACACGTCAAAATACTTGCACACACACACGATGACCACAACTCACTTTTTATTGCATACATCAATGCATCTTCATCCCACCTGGTTGGTCAATTTCATACTGTGTGACGCTGGCAGGTCCTCTCGGTTGCTTTTTTCTCACATCTAGCTCGCACTTACTGTGCAACTCATATGGGTGCACAACAGAGCGCATATCACAGCGATCACCAAGATTCTCAGGTTGCGACACCCAAGTAACACACTCAGACACGCACATGCGGCATCGCTGATGTCACACCTTTTGCGGGTGCTAAATAACAGACTGCACACAATGCACAGAACACACACGCACCCTTTCAGACTTCACCTTCACCTTACTGAATACGAATGACCGCGACGACAATCGTCGAGAGTGGTCATCCTAGCGACCCTAGAGAATAGACACTGTGTTGCTGCTTCACGACACCGAAGCAATGAAACGCGGTGAAGCTCTGCAACTTCAGTCTACTTGAAGCGCTGCAAAATCACAAACGCCAGCTCGAATGATGGCCGCGATGCTGAGGGCGAGTAGATGAAATAGGAGCACCTTTTTCATCTCTTGTAGAAAGTTTTCAACATTAAGAAAAGTATCACTAGAAGTACCATTACGAATTCTTAGCTTAGCTTTGGCAAGTCAAATTTACTATCTCTAGGTGCACATACCCAAGGGCACAGCAGCGGGAAAGTGTGCGTGGCCGTGCAAGATTTTATTCTACTGTCTAGGAGATTTACCTAATAACCGCAATAGCAAAAGTTTCAGTTAATCCATGTAGACTACAGAAAAAAAAATTCATTGATATAAATCTTTTATTGCTCAGTCAGTAGAAACTAATTCAACAAATTTTTCCTCAGAAGAAAATTTACAAAAAATAACATTTGTGTTAAGTTTCTTTTCGCGAGTGTTTAATTATATACATTCATTTTTTTTGTAAGCTTCCCGATTCTTGGCCGATTCCCTAGCGGGGGTGTGAGCCACGGGTTTAGGATCTACATCTACATCTACAGCTTCTTGGCAAAGAAAACACCACGGAAAGCCAAATGGACGCCTGACGGTATCGGTGCAGCGGCACATCGCATCTCGTCGTGAACGGCGCCTTGCAGAATTTGTTATTGGTTCATCGTGACTCTTCATAGCAATGAGCAGTCGTAGTTGGATGCATATAATACAAGTGGGCAGTGGTACACTTTACGTTTTAAATGCTAAGCATTTCTTAGCGAACTTCGGCGACTTCGAGTGTAATCATCTATCTGTCTCGCTATCTAGCCGCTTAACCTTTAGGTGCTCTCGTGGTCACCCTATTAACTTGGCGTGAACCGAAATTCGCATGGGAGGGTAAGATGGTTTGACGATATTGACACGCTGGTCAAGACATGAATAATGCCACAACCCCGTCAGGAAACATCATCAAAAATTCCTACTAGACAATGGCACATACCTACGGGTGGGTATGTGCCACTGGTATGCGAGTATGTGCCACGGGTGATTGACACTTAGTATCTACTCGAGAACGAAAAGAACACAAATGGGCCATTTTAACGCGCTAGCGTTAAGAAATACCCGACATCGGTAGCGTCTACCCTACGGATGCCAAGAATACATGACAGGGTCCCAGCTGGAATCAAACTGAAGCATTCTGCGTGACAATGAAGCATTTTTACACAGAGCTACGCCAGGATTCGGAGCTACTTTTCTAATAGACGCTGATCTTTGTGAGACGTCGATAGTGGTTGCAGTGCTGCCTATCCAATTTTATAAACATTACATATGTACTCCTTTCATACAGCCGTCACGTCTGATTAACGTCAATTGCGATTAGTTGCCATGCGCCGAAGTTGATTTATGTAGCAGTGTCCAGGGCCAGCATCTTCCCGAGAATGAGCGCTTCATACCAATTCTGATGTTGCTAATACGCATGTTCACCCTGGCATTGTTCAAACCGCAACATCGATAATATACTAGGCATATCTTCACTGTAGAATAATATAACTTTACACTGCTGCCACGGCGTAGCGTGCCGAGCGTAATTATTTCTGTCTTTGGATCTTTTACAATTCCATCGCCGTCCAACCACTCTAAATGGAGATGGTGATAGCGGTGCTACAGTGCACGTGCTCGAAACTGGTCGCAACTGCCGGTAGAACGTCATTGCGGCCCGTTCTTTCCTCGAAGGTCATCTGGTAACCTTCTCGTCAATTTTATTTGATCAAGAGATAACAAATAAGCTATTGATTACTCATTCAAGCTGCTCCATGCTTCCCCGTTTGCTTCTTCTTTCGTCCCTTGTTTCATCTCCCTTGGTGGCTGTATATATATGGCTTCAGTTCACCACGATTGCACATCAGACAGACTTTCGTTCGTCGCCTGAGATCATCATGCCTGTCTTGCTGTACAACCTTGTGGGAAGCCCACACTGCGGCTTCATTCGGTGCTTGGCGAAAGAAATTGGCGTTCAACTGAACCTCAAGGACATCGATTTTGGCAAAGGAGAACACCACTCTGGAGACTTCCTCAAGGTATGCACATGGCATGCGCGAGCATCTTTCCATTGACGGAACGAACACGTTCTTCATTTGGTATTCTTGAACCTTGACGAAGCAACGAATACAAAATTTGAGCTATCGTAGCCCATACCAAAACAACTTTAACGCTTCATGTTAGCTTCATGTCAACTGTACCTAGTTTGCAACAAACATATTAAGAAATATATGTAGTTTTTGCTTTGCAGCTCAATTCTCGTGCTCATTACAAAGAAAGACGCGTCTCCACATGCCAAGTTAGCAAACATCATAACAAAAAAACTACATTGCATTGCGTCCTTAATAGTGAATTTGTTAACCACGAACAGCAGTGAGGAGGATACCATGCGCCTTCACCTTGTCGACGCGTGGGGTGCACAGTCATTCCTCACGAGTTGAGATAAGATGCAACCATACATACCTGATTTATTAGGCAAAACAGGGTACTTTCAAGCCAATAAAGCCAGTAATCTGTGCATAAATGTGGTTATCTCAATTCGTGTTCAAAGCGGCTAAGTGTGCAGTTAAAATCGGGTCTCGAAAGGAACACTTGGAGCTCATGAGTCAAGCTTAATCCTCAACACCATTAGGCTTATTCTAGCAATTACGAGTTCACAAAGCATTCTGGCTTGAACACTGCACTACCTTTCAGAATGTTCCAGTCACTGCAGGAAGCAGCCCTAAAAAATATCCCACTAACTCCGCAATTTCAGATTACGCATTGCCACATTTCTTTTCTTGCAGAAAAATCCTTTCCACAAGGTTCCTGTGATTGAAGACAGCGGCTTGATTGTCTACGAGAGGTGCGATTCATCTATCAATATGCTCTATAGCTGCGCCATGAACTTTTATTTCCGCAGCTTCGCGCCTCTTTGCTAATATATTCAAGATTCTGCTTCTAACTGGCGTGTCAACCGTTGTGTCTGTGCAGCACCGCCATTGCCTACTATCTTCTACGGAAGTATGCTCCCGATTCGCAGCTCTATCCAAACTGCATTAAGACACGCACTCGCATCGACCAGGTGCTTGCAGCAGCCAATGGCAACATTAGTCCTATCCTAGGGACTTATCTCGTGAGTACAGGTTTTCCACTGCTTAGGCTTTGTTAAAGTGATATGTTAATCCGTTCTTACCTGTTAATATAATTGTCGGTATTTCGCTTCCCGAAACCAAGATACAATTCTGAGAGCCACCGTGGTGAAGGGCTCCAGCCGTTCAGATCACCTGAGGATTTATTTTACGTCCATTAAATTTATTTACATGTTCATGAAGTATTTCCGACTCTATCAAAAACGGGAACCGCAACCTCCACGTCACTCTTCCATGTTCCACAAAACAGTGAACCGTAGTGTAAAACGCCTTTGTTTTGCCATCAAGTGAATATAAAGCTTGAAGTATGGAGCCCAATGTATGAAAATGTTGGTTTAGTCATGTCAACTCTTGGAGATTTAGCTACAAAAAGAACGGAAGCCTTCCTTTTGCTCTTATCTTTGCCTAACACACATGTTTGCGCTTGAAATTGGCTTTGGTTTTGTTAATTCATGCGTACCAAGACGGTTGCCACCATCGATGAAAGGAGAACAAAACTTCTCACACATTGTGGCGCGCACGCGGCATAACATTATTAGAGCACTAATAAAAATATGACTCCTTGTCTCGACCAGTAAATCTAGAAAGCATGCTTGTGAAAAAGTTTGCCAATTTGTGTTGTCAGCACAATTCATTGACCATTGCTACAGTATGGGGCTGTGCAATACATTGCCTCGGTGATACATGAAGTGAAGTGAAATTTATTGCGAAATAGATTAAAACATGTTTAAACAGCAAGGATGGTGGGATGAAATCTGCATGTAGGCAGCTTCACTATTTCTACCTCCCAGAACTATAACAGCAGCAGCAAATATTAACAAGAATTCTTACTTTTTTCCGTCGTAAAATAGAAATACACAGAGCAAAGTGGTAATATAAGAAGAATAAAGTATATAAGTTGCGCCTGTACCCGTATTTTTGAGGCCACAAACAAGGCTCGCTTTCCTAAAGATGGATTATGTTTTGTGCTTAACAGAAGCGTTTTTCTCGAGAGGCAGCGTGTTTGTGCGAATTGGCTAGTTCATAGACTCATGAAAACAGCATCAGCAGGTTGAAGGAGGCATGCATTGCAATGATATTTGAAAGTAGAAATTATTTTACTTGGATCTTAATAGCGTTAACATGCCTGTAAACGGTGATGATAGATCGTAAGCATGACACAAATCCATATTTCAGCATTTGTTGAATGGATTTTCAGCGTCTACACTAGCCGGTATGTCCTCATTGTAATGTGAGTAAAATTTAGATTACCTCGTTCGATTGCGCACTACCTGCAAGTACCACCTTCTAAGGGACCTAAACTAAGGTAACGCCAACCAGGCTGATGGAAAAGCCACTGTCAAGTTCAAATCTTTAAATGCTAAGAACTGCCTGAAATGAGCTCCGATGCTTTTTTTTATTTGTAGTCATTAACATCTCTCTTAGCATAATGTTTCTTTGGCATATATAAAGCAAGTACAATAGTCGTACATAGAAAGCTTCTTCGAATGATTCGTTAGCGTGATTGAAAATTCGCAGTAGAGTATATACAATGCGTAACTTGTTTCTTTGTCTCTGCCTTCCTCTCAGATTGCGGATCTGTGTTGGCATGCCTTTTAGCATGAACGTGTCAGCTAACTTAAGCCGAGCCTTACAAAACACCATTCACTCTACCATTCGTAGATAGACGAACGTAACTTTTTTTTAAATCACCTATCAAAAACATGTCGATAAATAAAAGAATGCTTTGTGACGTGCTGGCAATTATGCAATATTATCTAATGGCACTGCATTTATGCTTTTTACTAAGTATAGTGCAGGATAATACTAGATGTTTTTCTAGAAGTCAGGGCAGTACTTTAAGTTTTTTTTTTTTTTACCTTACAGTGCCTAGGCAGGCAATTTCGCACTCAAATAACAAGCTTATACGAAGAACTGTTTAGCAGTGATACGGCTGTAGGCGCAGCTAGCAGTGAGTTTTCTTATATTCTTCTGCATTTGTTTCGTTCACTCTAATAATGTGTCAGGTTCTGTAGGCACTTATAATAAATATTTCACCTGTGAGAAGGTGCCACAGTAAAGTTTTTTTCATATTCTGCGCAGCGTCATCGATGCTTGAAAGGTACCAAACCAAGCGCAGATGAGGTAAAGGAGTGCGAAGAAAAAGTGCTAAAGTGTCTTGAGCGCCTACTTGGAGAAAGCAAGTTTGCCGCCGGTGACAAGATGACCCTTGCTGACCTCTGTCTGATTGGTTACGTCACCATCTGCCTAGAGGTAAGTGTAACCTGGTGACTTACGCCACCCATAGTTTTACGATGATATCAGCTCAGTGCACTTTACAGTCTGCCGCTCAGAACGCAATGCTCTACATTATCACAAAATAAAAAAAATCGAACTTGGCTTTTGTGGATCTTGTCAAAGCCAGGATGACTGGAATCTTAAACAAGGAGACATAATTCCAAAAAAAAAAACTGCATCTATTCTGCTCAAAGCTGCATGCATCATCTGTCTGTTAATATTATAGGGAATTTCAGTGAGCTAGTCGTATCCATCTCGCTGGTTCGCATTGTCACGTAACAAGGACGGTGTTCATCGATTGTTATTGCCTGCGAAAGTTCCATCAAAAACTCTGACGAAAACTGCTAGTGCATATCCCCATCGTCGCGGCATCGTAATTAGTATGTATATCAATGTGCATGTATATCAATGTGCACAATAGCTGTTTAATGTCATTCATATTTCTTCGTCGTAGTTTTTTTTTATGTCACTATGAGGAACCGCCAAGTCTTGCGCATGCAGCTGCAGGCACGTTCATGATGTAGGAACTGCGAAATAGGGACACTTTTTTAATACTCCGCTAATTTGAAGCTGTAGATACTCTGAAAAATTTTGTCATGCGCAACTATCTTCATGAGACACCTGCAGACAATTACTGAGATCTGCATGAACCCTGAAGGACGCATTTTCTGTGAGTCAGAAAAGCTACGCCGCAAACTGCTACATTTACCTGAAATGACGTCATGGGCTGTCAGGCAAAATGAAATCCATGTCCAGAAAAAAGAGAAGTTTTTAACCGTCTTCAGTAATCTTGAGTGATACTTGAGTTCAAAATACAACGAACAGAGCTAAGTTCCATCTATTTGTTAGTATAAATGCAAACTTGCGGTTCACTGTCTGCTGCTCTCGAAACAATTTGTGGCTATATAGGGATCAGCTGCATTCAGATACATGCCATTTAGGTAATATTTAAACAATTCTAAAGGAGCTTTGGATAAAAAGAGGTTTTAAGAGGAATTCTCATACACCTTGTGGTTGTCGTTGCAATTTTTCCCCTTCTTGCAGGTGCCAAGCGTCCACAGAGCAAAATACCCCAAACTTGCTGCGTACTACGACCGTGTGAAGAGTGCATTGCCCTACTTTGACGAAATCTTTGCGCCAGTTCATCTTAAGATCAAGAAGCTGTGGGACAGGCACCATTAGACAAGTCTCAGTGCTGCCTTTGAAACAAGCCTGCATGTTTTTGTTTCATAGCTTGAATAAACATATGAAACGGCACTTGCGCTCTATATCTTGTATTTCTTTCAGGAGTTGCTTCGAAATGTTTATACGTTCACACGTACCAAGAAGATCACTATATCCTCCCTTTGTATAAATGAATGTCATATTCACGTTCTTCCCCCTTAAAATAGGCGAAACTGTGCTGCAGCCCCACCGCGGTGGTCTAGTGGTAAACGTACTCGGCTGCTGACCCGCTGGTCGCAGAACCGAATTCCAGCTGTGCTTGTTGCATTTTCAATGAAGGTGAAAATGCTCTAGGCCAATTTGCTCTTATTCGGGTGCACTTTAAAGAACCCCAGGTGATAGAAATTTTGGATGCTCTCCACTACGGCATCTCTCATATTCATATGGTGGTATTGGGGACGTCAAACCCCACATATACGTCCATCTAGAGTGTGCTACAGCTGACTTACTTTGAAGTGAGTACCTCGGGCATTAGGAGGAATAAATTCACCAACCTTACTACCTCTCCACGCACAGTCGAAAAGAGCGCGTCATTGTATTTCTAGCATAATGACACCAGCAAAGATAAAAGGCGGATAATCTATCTAGCTCTTTCATATTCAACTCTAAACTCGAGCTTATATAAAAAAGTTATGAAACATTGAGAGTTTGAGGCACACGAACCACTTTCTAGAAACAGTCTTTGTATTCTTCCAAAGGGCACTCTGAATATGTGGTTTTACTACCGAAACCACGATACGTTGATGAAAAACGCTGCAATAGAGGGCCCCGAAAAATCCGAACGTTTGGTGTGTGTTTTTTTTTACCATGCGCAGACAGCCCGCTATATTCGGAAGGTATAACTATGCTTGTACACAAAGAAAACAAAGATAGGAGAAACACGGACAAACGCTCGTTCGTGTGGATTTGGACGTCTTGTTGTCAAGTACTCTCATTCAATTAGAGATCTAGCTATAATTAGGCGACTCTAAATGTATGATTAAAAACGTTTAATTTTGTAGACGGTGATTGCAACCTCGAACGTGGTTAGTAGGCGCACGTTTTGACAGGACACTGAGAAGCACATGTACGCCTTCTGTAAAAATTGAAGCGTTGTGATAAACACTAGCCCTTGCTGCCTTATGCAAAAAGCTTGTTATGCAGTAATCAGAGTTGAAAACAAACATACTGCAAGAATTCACGATGAGTGGTGAGAGCCAGAACCCTTGGTAACGATTGATATAGTCCTACGCGTGCTTTTTTATGTTTAGATACCCGGCTGGTTACACGAGTTACAACTACCTTGCGCAAACCACGGCCGAGTGTGTTAGAACTTTCATAATATATTAGGTATGCTAAAAAGGTACTGCTACGAACGAGCCCAATTGTTTATCTTGGCACCAATGCAGACAAGGCCGATAATGCTTGAGCCTTCAATATTGCATGTCCGAATGCTAACGCGCTTTACTGCTGATCAGACTACTGACAACCGACGTTCGTACTGACCCCATTTCCTAAACTCAGAGTGTTTCTTTTTTTACTGGGTGCATGTTTCGTCAATGAAGCGCTCAATTTTTATCCGCTGCGTTTTCATTTCACAAGGACACGCGCATTAAGCCGTGAGCTTAGTCTAAGTGGTGAAGAGAACACCAACCCTATACAAAATTTTCAGCTATATATTTTGAGCTATATATAGCTATATATTTCAAACAGTCTTGATGGGAATGAGGTTCATCGGTTCCGTCTTCTTCGACCTCACTAAATCCTTTTACAACATCAATCACGCCATTTTGTATCGTAAACTAGAAGCCTATGGGATCACAGGCCCTGCTCTAACGTTTTTAAAGCATTATCTAACGAACCGAGAGTTTGTGATATAAGTACGTTAAACACTTTCTCTTACTAAAATTACTAACTAAGGAGTGCCTCAAGATTCAATTTCGGGGCCTTTGATTTTTACTCTTTATAATAATGACTTGCCAGACGTCAATAATTTATGCCACTATGTATTGTACGCAGACAATACAACTTTATCAGTACGTGACTAATATATGATTTCATTACTAAATAAGCTAAATATGGCACTTGACCACCTACTTAAATAGTGTAACAATAATGAACTACTTATTGATTCATGTAAAACTAAATAATTTGTTTTAGACCCGCACCAAAAGCTTTTAAACTTTCCTTCCTTATCATTAGAAAATTCTATTCCTATGATTTACTCTGCGGTATTTCTAGGTGTGACATTGAACAGCCATTTGAAGTTTCATCTTCACATCAATTATGTTAAAAAGAAGCCGGCCTTTGGTATCCGCTCACTTATCGAGGCACATCAATAGTTTTGCCTCCTGCATTGCTTTAACTGTACTTTGCGTTTATTTATTCGCTTATGAACTATGGCATAATCGCTTGGGGTAACACCTATAAATGTTATTTTCATTTTATTGAACATATACAAAATCAAGCCATACGCATCAAAACTTACAGTTTTTCGCGTTCGGGTGCTTTTAACCTGCTTAATGAAGCAGAAAATTGTATCTGTTAACAAGTTATTGCAGTATACCATGAGTATAATGTTTTATAAGTCACTCAATTCTCAGCTTTCATTTTAATATATTGAATGTAGCTCGCTCAAGAATACTTGCGCCACCAGGTTCACTTCTAATCACAATTACTTGCTATAACCCATTGTCATTTACTACAGTAAAAAAAAAACATCGAAATTCTCTACCATTTACCTTTGGAATAGTTTGGCGTTTGAATTTATTTCTTGGCCTTCATTTGCGCTTTTCAAAACATCAATAAAATCTTTCATTTCAAATCCCGATTGCTTACCTTAGTTATGGTATATAGTTTTTTTTCACTTACCTTCATTTATTTTATGTACTTATCTCTGTTTTCCGTGTGAACTTTTCATTTTTTCTGTCCATTTTTGGTGCACATTTTCTATTCTGTATTGCTTCTGTGTGTCATATCTAACTTACCTTAGCATTGCTTTTTATATCATTTTCCACAAAGTGCCTTTCACTTTATTGTTTCATTTATTTTTTACCTGTTCTAGCATGTTGCTTCTTGCTTCGCCATGTATGAGTTTCTATTATTACCTGCTAATCGCTACTAACTTTTTTCAAGGCACTTTTGTTTTACTTTTCAACTGAGAGTCCGGTTTCAGTATTTATACTCTGGGACCCGCATCTGTACACAAGTTTTATGTAATCGATGCTTTGTAACAAAAAAAAACTGAAACTGAAACAGGCTACAAGGACTACAGCCAAAGTACGGACTGCTCCAAATGATGCATCAACCACGATGACAAAGTCAGCAGTAACTAATATGGCCATGTGTCACCCACAACCCACGTTTTACATCAGACCATGGAACCGCGAACGTTTTTAGCGACCAGTTTTCAATATCCAGAAAGCAAGCTCTAAACGCAGCACATATTTGCCTATAATAACGGGGACTCGTACGAGAATCTACGCAATCTGCTTTTGTTTCAACAAATCCGTTAGGACATAGTTCATAACGAGGGAGCCCAATGTATTATCGTTCGGTAATTTTCGAACTGGTTTTAAAAGTGTTATCCGAAGTGTAGCCCCCATTTAAAGGACGTGGCTAAATCTTTTCGTCACAAGGGTGGAAATTCAAAATTAAGACGTTAAAATTTTCGCGGGATGTATTAGCCAGATATTCCGCCACCCCAACCCCATTCCCGAGGAAAAGGCAGACCATTTCATTATGCGCGAAGTGAAGCAAGAAAGTTTCGCTGGGCTGATGAGTAACCTACTCCAGGCGGTCTAAGAACTTATATTTGAAGCGACAACAATCAAAACGATGGTACAAAAGTAATAACAAATGTTACTCAACTACATTTAGCGCAGCGTTTTGAGCCCTCGACTCCGACGAACTGCGGAAAGCCATTCGGGCTATTGTTTGCAAAGCCGTTTCCTCATCTAGATACAGAGAAAAGACCAAAATCCGCGTTGTCTTGTTTAGATACTTTTTTTATTTCGTGCTCACGAGCAGCCCCACCTTCCACCTACTGCTTTGATCGTCTTGCGCGCAGCGCGAGGACTTAGCCACCTTGGCGGTCTAGTGGCAAATGTTCTTGGCTGCTCATCAACAGGTCGGGTGGTGGAATTCCGACCGCGGGGCCAAATATTCGAGGGACGTGAAAATGCTTAGAATTAGGTGGACGCTAAAGAACCCCAGGTGGCCTAAATTTCAGGAGTTTCCAGTACGGCGTCTCTCAGAATCACACGGTGGTTTTGCGATGCTAAACTCCAAGAACCATTATAATCATGGCGACTTCCGATACCGTTTTTTCTCTGTAGTTTGAAAATCATCCCTGAATCATTCTGTGGCCCTTTTATTGCAAGATGTGCTGCTTATGAGAGGTACGCCTTATTTGTATACCATTTCGTAAGGTTAGCATTGGTGTTAACGTATCTGCTTCATCAATTTTTTCGCAGATTGGGGTTCTTAGCGTTTTAATACGACAGCATTAAACAGCTCCTTTCACAGAAGTTCCATTGTCGGCAGCTCTGTCGGCGCCATTTGTTGCGAGCGAAAAGTCATCATCTTGTACGTTATCAAAAATCGAAGAATATGCAACTAAGACAGACAGACAGATGCAAAGAGACAGACAGACAGACAGACAGACAGACGGACGGGCGTACGGACGGACAGGCAGACAGACACACAGACCGACAGACAGACAGACAGACAGACAGACAGACAGACAGACAGACAGACAGACAGACAGACAGACAGACAGACAGACAGACAGACAGACAGATGGACGGATGGAAGAACGCGGCTAGCGGATGATTCGCGGTTTGCCTCTAATCCATTTCGAAGCTTCGCTCCACTCATAATCATTCACCCTTTAGATATGCTGTGATTTTTTCGTCAGACACAACTGCGTGCTTTATGTAATGAAATGGAAAGTTAGGCGGGTTGATTAGGCGACATTCTTGGTAACATTTCAGTGCACACACAGTGGACGGCAGAACGGAAAGCTAAAAGACAAACAAGTGCGAACTCACAACTCAGTTTGTGA